GGGGCGTACTATTTTTACTCTCCCTAATCTTCCTTTGTAATAACATCAAAGATGGTGGTTACAACAGTACAAACATAAACAAGCATGAAACTGCTATCAGAGTCAAGGTTATTTGTATGTTGAAGAACACTTCTTATGGAAAGGAGTTGGTAGTTACCTTTAAGATGTTTTCTTGCATTTGCATCTGGCAGGACAGAATTTTAGTTGTTGCCTCTTCCAGGGGATCAAGCCTTTTTACCAGGCGACAACACACTTCTGTCTGTGAAGCAAGCTGCTGGCGGAGTAAAGTGACAACATTGTCTTTCAGCGAAGGATTTTCACTACTGCTAGTCAGGTCACTGCTGGTTGTGGACAAAGGTGCTGAGGACTTTGCTGTCTTGGCCCTCTTGGAATCTCGTGCTGCTTTCCACTCAAGCTCCCGCCGCTTCTGACTGGCTAAAAACTTCTCATACGGATGGTCACTGTCCCTGACTTCGGTCATGGCACTCTGTTCAGCAGGCTAGGTCAGAGAAAAACAGATCGGATCAGATTTATTGAACAACGTACAAAGCCAGATTAAAATGTTATTTGTAATTAAAACAGCATTTCCCACAGACCTTTGCAATAAACCTATGTTTAACGGGAATTAGGTTGGAATTCACTAGTGGACTCGGGATTAAGCCAGGCAAGAAAGAAACCTTTACTCTCAGGGTATGCGACGCGTGAAAAATTAAACAACAACAACAACTGAACTCGAGACGAAATGCCTTTGAAAGAAATTGGCCATGCGGCCCGTAGAGAAAATAGTTCAAGATGAGAAAGTATTTTAGGAATTAACAAAAAAAACGGGAAAGATATCGCAATGTAATCTAATTACCTTCTCTCGTGCAACTTTTTTTCTTAGTGGCTCCAAACCCTCCCGGACTTCTACTTGCGGAGCTGAAGGAAAATTTTCCTTATACCACTCTAGGTCTTTGTCAGCCAGAACGTTTTCATTATCTATAATCGTGTTGAATCAAAAACTTTGTGTTAAAAGATGACTGATAAGGCTGGAAAGAGGAAAAACAATCAGAACAGACGTACAAAGCACAATTACAACTTACCGCTTAAAGCATGGTTCTGCGCCTGAACCTTCTTGTCATCCCAATTAACGTGGACAGACTGTCCTTCGATGAAATCAAGGTCTTTCTCCACAATTAATCAAGTTGGCGTGATGCCGGTTTTTTTTCTTCCGGGAAAAGCAACAGTGCTTTTGAAGCAGATGTTTACTTGTTTGCATACACAGTTGTCTAAGAGACATGCCGTGACTTTTGAAAGAGCAAGATCAACAAAACAAACTAACAAGTGTTCCAAATGGAGCATAGAGTGATCTCTATAAACTGACTAAGTGGTTACCTCTTGTATACGCGACATTGAAGGTCACAAGGATTGAAAATCCAATATTTTCATTGGCTAAATGAAGTTTAATTGTTTGGCAATCAGTTAAACGGTTTACATGTAAACCGGTCACAAGTTGTGAATTATAATATCAATAGACTCTACTATCACCTAACTTTTCATTGTTTCTAGCGGTACTTTTCACTGCACGCGGTCACAAGTCATAAATTATAATGTCAGTTTTTGTAAGCTGCTCCTACATGAGTAATCCAAAAGCAAAAATTGGAACTTTCCTTTTCAATGATTTGTACTGGTGCCCTTGGCGAGCGTTTGTGTTTATATAGATAATACTAAGTTATCTAATGACAAATAAAAATTAATAATACCTTGAAAGAAAGCACCTATACTCACACTCAGAGTAACGCGCGTGACAGGATAAACTGTTACGTCAACAAATGAGACATCTGTTGATTTTCTGTTGTTTTCATTATTAAGAATACATGAGAACATGCAGAGAGCAAAACTGTTGGAAGGGCTTCATTGGGAATGCATTGTGTAAATACGGCTTCGATTCATCTTCTGATAGCCTGCATAGCAAGCGTTTCCAATCGAGTTGACTTTCTCGACGAACTCACGCGGAAACGCGTGCTACGCAGGCTAATCGATTGCTGAATTGTCTGAGCTGTCCAAGTTTACTTTAATACTTTTACTTTACTAATCGATCAAAAGTCGTTTCGATCCAAACTGGAGTTGTTTCGATCCATCAATGAAGTCGACTCGATCCACGTAGAAAGTCGATTCGATCCATCCTAAGTTGTTGAAAACAAGCAATAAACTAGCTGTTGTAATACCTATGAAGAATCGATCGATCGATATCAAAAGCTTCATTTTTTTACGGCAACAGAGTTAAATTTGAGATGGAGTAGAAATTATAGATATTGCTCGTGGTTTGTGGATAAAAACGAACTTAAAACTGTGGATTAACATAGCCAGCGAATTCGGCATGTTAGCAAACTCGAACGTAGCGCCGTGAATTCAACAAGTAGCGCCAGAAACTGGTGTAAACCGTGACAGGTTTGTCTCGCTGTTTAATCTATAACCACATTACATTGAGCGCGCTAACAAACACGCAGGCTACGAAGTTCTTTATAGAATATCCTTTTTCCTGTGTTGTGGTCAAATATCGACAAACCTAAGCTCTCGCTATTGTGTGAATAGAATTACTGTCACACCAAGATGGGTTCAACAAGTTTATTGGCAAAATGACAAACAAGAAATCTGACAAAAGACAGACCCTAAGGGTGGGAAGGGTGGGTTGTCAAGGCCTAACGCTAGGGGATTGTCCAACAACTAAAGCACATGTAGAGGTCACATGATCAATTCTGGCCAATGACTGTTCGCCATTAATTACATGTATTAACATAAATTAATACTACCCAATTACTGTCACACCAAGATGGGTTCAACAAGTTTATTGGCAAAATGACAAACAAGAAATCTGACAAAAGACAGACCCCAAAACCCAAGGTGTGAGGTAATGAGAAAGTAGTGAAAGCTAAGTGGTAGTGACCGAATCATGAGTTGTAGGGATGTGCTGAGCTAAGGTTTTAGCAACATTGAGTTTTTGAGTGGTGTTGAGAACTAAATAAACCATATAAGCATGTGATGACCAATCCCCTAAGAATTTAATGAACAAGGGTGAAGCACCAGCATGAAAGGCAAAAGTAGCACCTCCCCTTCGGAAGTTGTGGGGAGAATATTGTGTGGGATCCAACCCAAGACTAACTATGCAAGACTTAAGGAATTTAGCAAAATGATGCCCTGTAACAGGCTTGAATCCTGTTGAGGTATGAATAGTAAATAAAGGTGCCTCGGTGTCCACGGGGACATAGCGAAGATGACGTTTCAATGTGGAAACAGGACATAACACTGAGTGAGGGATGAATGGCAGAACAATTTCAAGGGCCCTCTGCCTAAACTGAATAGTTTTGGTTTTGTGTACATGGAGTGTACAGTGGTCTTGATGAAAGCTAACATCACTAATTATTAAGTGAGTAGCTGAAGCACTGGTAACATCGGCTATTGTGGTAGGAACTAAATTAGATTTACGCAACAATGAGAAAAATGCAACATGAAAAATTGTCCACATGCAAACATGCAAGGGGTGACGAAAATCCAACAACTTGAAAATGGCTAACAAAATGTCGACAGTAATAGGTAATTTACGCCCTACTGGTTTGGCTAGCACACGTTTGGCAGCCTGTTTGAGAAAATTAATCTGTGATGATGCAAAAAAGGTGACATCAGCTCCTAAGTATAGATTAACTTGCTTAAGGCAACTGAGATAATTGTTAACAGAATTATATGAAGAAAAATAACCTACAAGAAAGGCTAAATAGAGCCAATAGACCTGCTCAGTTACTGGAAAGGCTGGTAGGTCATAAGTTTTACAAAATAAGAAATAGGCTCTAAGTTGTGTTCTGCGGGTACGCATTGTTCCTTCACTAAGTGCTGATTTCTTGAGCAGACCAAGGTAATGGACCAGGAATTCTGCAAAGTATGTAATAAATACCAATATTAAACGCCAGCAGGTTAAGTGCAGGTAAAGGAAAACAGCAGAGGGTTAACTGTAACTGGCTGCAACTCAAGGGAAACTGTTAAGGCATGGAATCATGATTGGTAGATGGCAGCTGTATGCCACCTACTAAGGCAATCTGCTAATGTGTTTTCATGTCCAGGAATGTGCACAGCCTTGAGCATGATGTTGTTAACTGCTAATGTCAGCCATAATTCCCGTAAACAAGCTTGTAAGAAAATGTGCCTGCTACGCATAGAGTTTATCATTTCAACGCATGCCTGGTTGTCACAGTGAATCATTATGCATCTGCCTTTTAACTTTAATTGCCATAGCTTGACTGCCACAACCACTGTGAGAAGTTCCAACTGCGTAATGGATAACTGCTGCTGAGTAATAATTGGCGGGAAGAGTTCATGGAAATATTCTCCTTCACAGATGGCTCCACATCCTGTCAGGCTAGCATTGGTGGAAAATAACTGTTCGCTGGATTCTAGAAACTCTGTACCTATCACTGAGACACCATTGTATTTGTCTAGAAAATGTAGCCACCACTGTAAGTCCAGTTTGAGCTCATATGACACAGGAATAGTTCTTCTACGCGAATCACAACTGCGCAGTTCATTCAACAAACACGACATAAAAGCCTGCCCAGGGCGCACACAACTGCACACGTAACTCAATTTACCAATGAGGACTTGCAATTGATGTTTAGTGGCTTGCTCCAGTTCAAGCCAATGAGAAAGTTCAGCTCGCAATTCCAATAATCGAAACTCAGGAACCGATACAGTCATGTCATCCGTATTGAACCAAATTCCAAGCACAAGCATTTGTGTGTTCGGCAATTGATCTTTGGCGGGGGAGGCTTCCAAGCCCAGTTCATCAAACAATTCAGTCATCCTTTTGAATGCTACACCTGCTAACTCTGCTAACTCAACGCCATAAAAGTCATCAATGTAGACATCAGCAAGATAACCCTCTGTAGTTAATATATGAATCACTGCTTTTGTTACTCGCTGGCATACCATAGTGGCCGAACGAAGTCCAAAAGGCAAGCGTGTCTGAAAATATAGTTGATTGTTCACAGCAAAACCAAGCAAAGGAACATCCTTGGGATCCAGGGGCATTTGTCGGAAGGCCCAGGCAAGGTCTTTCTTGTAGATGTGACAATGACGTCCACGTAATCGAATGAAATGAGTAAGTCTATCAACACCTGGAAGTGTTAACTTGTATTCATGATTTAAATAACTATCCTTTGGCATTCTGGAATTAACTGATGCACTCTCAGGGAAGCTTAAGTCATGAACCACCCATAACTTTGAACTGTCCCGTTTTGGCACTGTTTGTAACGGCGACACAACACATGGACAGGAAAATGGATTGCACGAAAATGAACCAGTAATTGCTCCATGAGCAAGTTCCTCAACGACATAATCCATCAGACACAAATTGTTTTTTGATGGCAGAGGAGTGGTTATTCAAAGTAGACTGTGGCAACACATTTGACTGATAATTAATTGGCCAACCATAACGCAAGTATTGGACTATAATAAAATCATCATAATCATGCAGGTATGTGATCTAGTTGTCAATATTGAACAAGGTTTTAATGGGCACTTGTGCAAGAGCAAAATTGTAGTCGCCTGAACGCAAGACTGTTTCGATAATGTCAATGTTTTCAACTAGTCATTGTGGTTTTTGCTGAGCAGATTTGTCAGTTGGAATAGGATATCTCTGTTTAGCACAATGGAGCATAGGATGCTCATCAGAATCACATACTCTGCAGTGATGCGTGTTCTTGTACTCCGGGTCAGTGATGTTACAAGAGCATTTGGCGGTATAATTCCAGTCAGTACAATACATATCTTTCTGCTCTCGCCGAGGGAGGTCGCGTTGCTGGCGTGGACCTAAAAACTTGGAGCCTGTATTCTGACTGGAACGAAGATCAGCATGACTAAAGAAAGTATTCGATCGAGCTTGAATGACATCCATTTGACCCCAGGTAAGCCTACCTTGTGCCAACGCTTGGTTAATGGACAAATTAAATTTCGAACACTCGGCCAGGAGTAGTTCATAGCTTTTTCCATAAGCAACTGGAGAAACTGAAGCAGATGTTGGTGTTGTGATTGCTGCTGTTGTTGAACAAACTCAAGAAAGGCAGACACAAATTCTGAAATGTCAATTTTATCATAATCCAACGTACCTTTTGCGGAGAAAACAGTGTGCCCTTTAGCACTTGCTTTGAGCTGCTGCATAACTGGAAAGGTGGGATTTGCTAGCTGAATCTGCTCCTCTTGCGACGGTGGGGTCAGTTCATTCATGAGCGACGCAAGGATTTTTTCTTGCCACTGGTCGTGCATAAGTTGACCACGTGCATCAGCTGACATTTTGTCTTGTGTTGTTTGGAGTGCTTCTGCGCCGAGTTTTTTCTTTCTGTGAAAGAAGCTTTAACTCCAGTTGAAGGTTTTGCTGTTTTAACCGCTCCAGCTCCAGTTGGTCTTGAATGTTGGCGGATTTTGTAGATTTCTTCTTTGCCACAGCGCCCGTCACAGCTGGCGTTTTCGCTGGGACCTGTGCGGCCGACTGAGCGGCCGCCGAGGGAGTCGCATGTGGATCAAAATCAGTAGGAAAAACCATAGCAGGAAAGTCATACACAAAATCTGGATTGAGTGTTTGTTTGACTGATCTTTTAGGCTTGGAAGCTGCCATTGTTGAGGATACTCAATTGAGGAAGCATGGAAAGATGACACACCAAGAGTCGCCACAAATGAGCTGGAGTTCTTTCAACAAAAGCTGGTGGCTGAATGAAGGAAGTTTGTTTTCTTTAAGACGACTGAGGATAAACAGAGTTGCCTGGAGTAAGGAAGAGGCTCCTGGATCGATTTTGGACGGAGAGTGATCTGGCGAATGACAGAGATCACGGAGCGACTTTTGTCAAGGCCTAACGCTAGGAGATTGTCCAACAACTAAAGCACATGTAGAGGTCACATGATCAATTCTGGCCAATGACTGTTCATCATTAATTACATGTATTAACATAAATTAATACTACCCTTCTCACATCGTTCCGCAATGGATAGTGAAATTAACATACGACACTCAATAGTTTTGAAAATACTTTCATCCATGTTCCAATCGCCACTCTGTACTCAGATCACATTTACAAATTTAGAAAATAGATATAACATGTGGAACGAACGGACTATTTTGTGGAACGATCTGACTATTGATTAGAACGAAATGACCGGATACCGTGTGCTACCTTTGTCTGCTACATCATTTGTGTATGCGCAGTTTTTTTAATAAGGCCAAAATAACATTTAAAAGCAGACAAACTAACCCTTGTGCAAATGAAGTCGAACAGATCTTTTAAACATTGAATTAACTGACCACTCGAACAAGTAAAATATTTTGAACGGACAGCGTTTCTATATTTATACTTGGCAAAGGTTGCCAATCATGTTACCCCTCTTCCATATCCGCTTCGACAGAAAAATAATTTAAACGGATGCCATAATACGGATGACCAAGCCGTTCAAACACCCTGTTGTCCTTAACGAACGGGTGAAGTCGTCCGAATGGCCTGATGCCTTCAACGAACGGGTAACCAAGTCATTCGAACGGGTTGATGTTTTTAACAACAGGTCACCAAGTCGTTTGAACAGGTTGATGTTTCCGACAAACGGGTGACGAAACCGTTCGAATGGGTTGATGTTTCTAGCTAACGGGTAGCCAAGCGGTTTGAACGGCTGACAAACGGCTTGTAAACGGAAAGGCATTAGTGTACATTTTCGCGTTAGAGGTCACATTTTAGCTAAAATGTCTTTGATAATAGTACTTGAATATTTCAACAGTTTATTTGGGAAGGAGTATAAACCATGAGATTTATTGTTGGGTAAAGCCAATATTTCTAATTCAACTTCCCTGGCAGTTACAGGCTTAAACATGAAAGAACACGCTGGAGATTTCGTTTTTTTGAGAAAGTCATGATGATCACCAGAAGCGGGTATCTTACCTGCTAATTTTTTTCCAACAGACACTAAATGCTCATTTACTATATTAGCAATTCTTTTTGGATTGCGATTAATTTTAGTCCCATTATTAAAGTTTTATTGCATTTACTTGTTGGGATTTTCTTAGTTTTATGATTCAATAGATTATTTAATGCTTCCCAAGTCTTTTTCATATTCATTAAATTTTTTTTGAAAATAGTCATGGAAGTACCCTCTTTTACCAATTCGATTAATTTTATTGTGATAAAATTTATATTTAGTTTGATGCAAAAAGTTTATTTTCAGTCTTAATTGAAGCTCGTATCCCTTGTGTTATCCATGGTTTTGAAAAACGCTTCAATTGGCATCAGGAAATCTGTTTAATTGGCACATGCCTGTTTATTATTTTATTATATTTACCATAAAAAGAGGAGAATATATAATCAGTGTCATTATTACTATTTGCTATTATCAACTGCCAATCAATTTGATTAAGATCCTGCGTAAAAGAATCCCTATCAGAATTTGAGAAGTCACTCATTTTTCTCTGAGCGGGTTTAATTCTATCTCTTGCTGATCTGAATATACAAAACTGTGAGAAATGGTCACTTACATCAGAAATAATGTTGCCACTCACTGATACTCAATCAGGATTATTTTCAAATATAATATATAGATTTAGCCAGGGCTAAAAGCGAGGCTCCCATTAGTAAATTTATAATTTAAATTAAACAATAAACTTGTATTCGAATTCCACAATACAGTTAACTTTAGAGCACATTTATGTGACTTTTGAGGGAAAGGCTACCTGATTTTAGAGAAAAATAATTTGCACACAGCCCAAGAGTGAACCAAATCTTACATCGAGTTGATAGCCTCATGTGTACACCCAAAAACTGGTAATCATCTTCGATCACATTTAAGAGCCATAATGACTATTGATCACCGTAGATTAATTAGGCCTGGAAAAAAATCAGGCTAACTTTTTTGCGTTTGTCAAGTTTACTTTGCAAAATCTTGCCAACAAATCTGGGTGGGTGTAAACCAACCTTTTATACCATGAACAGAAAGCAGTATTTCACAATACAAATTGCACTCATTCAATATTCATAAACTGTTAAAAAAATTCCGGAAATCACCTATACGGCCATCCGGTTCTCACTTTTGTAGTGCGAGCTGTGGCAAGTGTTTGAATGAGCATTAACAGAGTTATACTCCAAGATAATAAAGAATTTATTATGTTTATTTTTTATTTAATGGTTTAACGCGCGGCATTTTGAGTACCCCTGCAAGCGATGTTCACTGAGCGACTGAAAACAATCGGCACAGCGATTAAAATTGTAAGAGAGACTACTAACAATCAATAAAAGAAATATAATTCGGTGAAACATATACAGAGACAACAATTTTCATTCAGGAAGACAAGTATTAAAGTGTCCCTAAATATCCTGAGTCTTCAAGCTTCAAGCTTAGCTTAAGTTTATGTTTTAAGGCGGCTTCCCGGTCTTTGCTGTCTTCAAAGACGAACTCGAGGCAGGGAAATCGCTCAAAGCTTTCTTTTCCAGCCAGAATTATAACTAAATATTCTTTGGAACGTTTTCTTTCTATTTGCGGTGAGAAACTGTCTAAAGGCTTTTTAAAGTTCTGTAAGATTATGTCAAACCTGATACTCGGTCAGATTGTTGTCTCAAATCTTACAAACGTGCATAAACTAAATACCCGCATAAACTACGTTCGACTTCATTAAAATAGATACAAAAAACAAACATAAAATACAATAATTTCTCTGGCTTACCATTCGAGATGCAGCTCCTGAACGGTATCAAGTAGCCAGCATGGCTTCAGACTTTGCAATCCTCTTACGCATCAAGCAAGGTGAAAACGAAAACGATTCCATCCGAAATCGGATTTCCAACTTTGACAAGCGACGTATTTCTCAACCAAAAACCCAATAAAAACAAACTAGCCATGAATAACAGAAGACTCCTGATAGCAGCTGAATTTCATTTTGTACATCCAGTGGAAAAAGACAGTTAAAAACATCACAAGTTGAAACAAAACTCTGTCAGCTTCAGCTGTCAAAGTAAACAAGATTCAAGATGCTGCATAAATTTTCCGCATGAACTCACCTGTCAAATTTTGACCAATGAGAACATAAAAATTGGACGTAGAGCGTGACCAACGCGTGATCATGGTGAGAAAAGACAAAAGCAACTGTCTTACCTGCCTGTAACAGCTGGCTGAATTTTCGCGTCCGAGGTCAGTTTGCAATCAAAATTTTAATTGTGCACCACATAAACACAACATATTTCATATGAATTTAGAAAAAAATTGAACTTGAGCCAGCGATCACTTGAAAACTAGTTTACTCGTCAGCGGTTAACTTCTAAAAAATACTTGACCTCGATGGGTCGACACATGAGCCCGCGATACGGTCAAGTGATACTGGTCAGCGGGTACCCTGTTTTGACAGCTGTCAATTGATCAAAACATTGTTGTCCCATATGTGTGCATTATCAGTTTTCCTGTGCTCCCAAACTTGTTCGCGATCTAGTAAAATAGTTAACTGGTCAGCGGACAGCTTTCAGATAAATCACGTCACCTCGATGAGTAGACACATGAGCCCGCGATATGGTCATGGGATAGTGGTCAGTGGCTATCCTGTTTTGACAGCTGTCAATTGACCATATTGTTAATGTTCTATGTTAAAGATTTGGACTTGCCAAGACCCGCCTGAGACACCCCTCCCTTCCTTTTGATAGTCTCCCCTACCCCACCCGTACAATCTGTAGACGCGTACGTACGTACGCTCGGTCAATCACGTGACAACCAAACGAAAAGAGGTTGACCATATTCCATGAGTATGGGGCTCTGTCCCACGCGTGCTTCGCGCGCGCGTGAGCCCCGATATTAACAATTAGAGAGGCTGAGTTGCCGCGAACTCATGACAAAATCATGAGTGAATTAGCGAGACATCAGTCTTATCGTGGTTAAGGTTTGGCTTATTTTTTTTCCTATCTAACTACTTATATCAGCCACACAGCTAACCACATGTTCAATAGTCACACTTATGTCATTAGGTTTGAAAGTCAGGTAGAGTTGTATATCATTTGCGTAAAATGGTTATTTTTGGTAACTGTTGATAACCTACAAGATTGAAGATGTATATGGAAGTTGTTATATAGGTCCCAGGACGGATCCATGTGGTAACCAACGAGCAAATCACGTGTAAACACTGTTGACAATAGCAACATCATTGGTCTGTTCATATAGTTGGCCTTTGGACAGGAAAAGTTTGTTCTTTTTTTTCCAGCTTTCACAAGGTCGACCAGGCTTTGTTTGTGCAGATAAAGATAGTGTGTCAGTGTCTTTCATTAAGCCAATCATTAGCGAAAGCTTTGTTAGCAAGTAAGTGTGTTGTTTCTTCCAAAGGTATNCTTTTGATAGTCTCCCCTACCCCACCCGTACAATCTGTAGACGCGTACGTACGTACGCTCGGTCAATCACGTGACAACCAAACGAAAAGAGGTTGACCATATTCCATGAGTATGGGGCTCTGTCCCACGCGTGCTTCGCGCGCGCGTGAGCCCCGATATTAACAATTAGAGAGGCTGAGTTGCCGCGAACTCATGACAAAATCATGAGTGAATTAGCGAGACATCAGTCTTATCGTGGTTAAGGTTTGGCTTATTTTTTTTCCTATCTAACTACTTATAT